TATATATATATATATAGGGATTTCATTTACTTTATTAACAGGGACATAATTAATTTAATGACATATTTTGTTTTATGAGCAATAAATGAAATCGCAATTACTATGAAAATTTACCACAAAAAAATTATTTGGCATCTTCCACTGTTAATAAGAGATGAATGTTAATATAAAGAACGGTTTTAAAGTTGATCTGATGAAAAACGTAATTCATTAACATTCAAAATTATTTCTTAATCTTTTTTAACCAGTTTAGAAGACAACCAATCCTATTTTATTATTTTTTGAAAACGTGGTGATTTAAATTTACGATGAATTGTGGTTTTTATTTTAATGTGTAGACTTGACGAGAATTTATTTTTCGATTATGTTTTGTTAACTATGTTCAAAATTCTGTAAACGCTTTATTAGTCTTTTTTCCTGTCAATGAAAATAAACGCCTCGAGGTTGTACCAGATCAGTACACTCCAGAAAAATCATTTTCAAATCTATTTATAAATATTATTATTTTAACAAACATCTTTTTATTGAAAAATTTAATTTTTACTATAATTTGTATATCACGTAATATCTAGAAACTAAAAAAGATACATTAAATAAAATTAAATAATTTATACTTAAATTAATTCTATTTGTAAACAGAAAAATATTTGTTAAAAAATGTGTAACTTAAATGTGTAGTATTATTAATAATTAAAAAATCTAGTAAGCGAAATCAAATAAAATTTAAATTAATATTGTTTGCGAACTGAAAAAAATAATTTAAAAAAAGTAAGACGAAAACAAAATGAAACAACTTCACGATTTAAGTTCCAATCGTCTCATTGGTGAGCAGTTTTCCCGCCATTAGAACCCTGATCCGTTGCGACTTCTTTAACTAACTAAAGTATGCTTTAATTTTTAAATGCATTTTTTTTTTCGTAATTGGCTGGCTAGTGTGCTTTATTATTTTAAGGGATGATTGCCCTTAAAGTAATCTACGAATATACCAAGTTTCCTTCACTCTTTTTATCACATGATTTTTAAAATTAATCACATTAGAAATAGGGTAAACAAACGAGTGAAGGAACACTACCCAGTGAAGGAACATTTCATATATATTGATTAAAAATAAGAATTTGAAAGTTTTTCTGTAGATTGATTGGGAACAATAGCTTACTGCCAAACAATAGAAAGTCATCTAGCAATGTTTTGGATTACATGGTCACATAGACTTCTCTGTAAAAAAATTTAAATTTTTTATTATCTCTGCAACACCTTAGTTCTTTGAAAAAATTATAAGGTGAGTGTTTGTATTTATATGCTTAAAGTGGAATTAATTGCATGTAATAGTTTTATTTTTCTCACTGTGAATAAGAATTCAAAGTATAGTTATTGAAGTTACATTTTATTTTTTTAAGCATCATAGCATAATCAAGTACTGAGATAAGGGGGTGTTTATTCACTGGATCACCAAACGATGAAAAACCAGTGAAGGAACAAGTGTTCCTTTACTGGGTTTTACTGGGTTCCTTTACTAGGTTAATGAAAATGAAAGAAAAACTTTAATTTTCTTGTACCTTTAGTGATGTTTTGCATCAAAAGTATGCTAAAAATACAAAAAACAACTTCTAACCAGTGAAGGAACAGGCATGTTCCTTTACTGGGCATAGATTTCCCAGTGAATGAACAGTATGTGTTAATATGTTGACACTTTACTTTTCAATTAATGATTACAAAAAAAAATTAACATTTTCCAAGTATTTGTATGTTATAATTTCAAGAATAGGCTTGTTTTTAGATATTTGTATGGCATATAAATTCATAAAGAGCATTAAAAAATAACCAAAATTAAGTGTTCCTTTACTGGTAAATTTTGTGTTCCTTTACTGGTAAGAGTTGTTCCTTCACTTGGTCTTCTTACTACTTGTTATTTGAACCTCCAAAACTTTAAAACAATATTATGAAAGTTCTCTACAATTTTTTTTTAAATAATTTGCAATTAGTAGCAGATATGTCGACGCTGTCATTTAACTAAAATTACGAATTTTGAAATTCATATGATTTTTTAAAAGGCAAGCGAAGCTTAAGTGTTCCTTCACTGGTTAGTTTACCCTATGTAACGAAAATTTAACATTAACAGATTGAACATTAAACATTAATTAAAACATTAACAGATTGAAAGATGAGTGATAAACATAGAGCATACTTATTTTAAAAAGTTAAGAAAATAGTAAATATTAGCTTATCAACATTACTTTATTGAAATGACAAAAAGTGTTGCACAATGATATTTAAGCTAAAATATGCTTTAACAACAAATTTCCTTTTTGACTGAATTTTTAAAGAATGATTATCTTCTTAGTTGGATGAAGCCGAAGATTTCGATGAACGAAAAAGGATACGAGATAGATTAATGAAAGTTCAACATGAAATTAAAGGTAGGAATGTGATATTTCAATTATAAATTATTTGTTTTTTGACTTTTTTAGTCGATGGGATGAGAATTAGTTCCATTTGCCATAAAAAGTGGTCGTTTAGTTTTCATTTAATTAAAAATTTTAAGTACTTAATTTTAATCAAAATTATAATTGTATTGCAAGTTTTAATGTGCACATTATTTATCAAATAGTATCTAGATCAAGAACTATATTTTACTCTCTGTTTGCAGTTGTATGTATGAAAATTTTATTTTACACTAAAAAAAAAAAAAGCTTTTAACTACAATGTTACTCATTTTATGTAAAAATATGTATTAATATATCATAAATTCATCACTGACTTTTTAAGAATTTTAAGTCTACTTTTCTTGATTTTTGAAATCTTTCGCGATTTGTTTTTTCCTGTTGTTATTCAAAATAAGAAACAAAAGTGCTGCTTGCATTTTAATATAATTGCTAGCAAATTTTGATATATTTTAACCATCAAATCAAAGTATCAAATAACCATGTTAATATCTTCCCATCATAGCCGTGTTATATACTTGAAAAATACATTTTTGAAAGTCCTCAAAAACAAAAATCTTAAATTATGTCAGACTTTCATTGTAAATCAAGTATTACTGAACAGTTTCATTAAAAATACCGATGAAAGACAACTTCTCTATATTAATTGTGTCTCCAAAGAAGTGAAATAAGCTGCCATCCTATTTACTCTGTTATAGAAACCACACTTAAACAAAATAAACCTCCACGTTCATTCACATTCCTCTTCACCATTGTATAAAGTTTTATTTTTATTTATACCAACTTATCTGAGCGAACCGTAGCTAGATTGAGGACTAAACAATTCAAGGGAATGAAAATATCTCCCGATGGCCATCGAAGCTACAGAAGCTGTCCTCACTGCATCGACACCGAACTCTCTCCCGACCATGTCTTTGATTGTCCAGCCATGCTGGCGAAGCTCTTCAGGATCCATCTGAATCCCCCGCAGCAACTCCTCTATTCCATAGAGATTATTACTGTGGCCAAAGCACTACTGGACAAGACAACAACAACAACATCTGAGCAAACTGAATTATTAATTCTTAAACACATCATTTTGTTTTCTTTCAAAATTCATAATAGAAAAATAATATTAACTTCATAGTTTTAATTAGATCAACGGACAAAAAAATTTCCTTTCGAGAAATTATTTGTTAGATGCCAGACTCCTGCTCATACTTTATTAATTTTTGAAGACTCAGTGGCTAAGAACTATTTATGTCCATTTTTTCACAAAAATGACGATTGTATCATTATGAAGATTACTAAGTCTTAACAAATCAATGACGAGAAAAATCGGTTTTCCCCAAGAGTTATTACAAAGTAAAGATGGGGTATATACTGTGGAAAAATCTTTCCTTTCCGCGTGCAAAGAAAAGATCTAGGGAAAAAGATATACCATTAAAGACATAGGAAATGTTGCAATTAGCATTAAAAATGTTCTTTTGTTGCTCAGAAAAAACTATTTGCTTCAATGAAAAAGAATTTATTAAACTGACTGCAGCAAAGAAACCAAATTATTAAAATTATTATTATTTTTAAAAAAGTGTTCGTTTTAAATCAAAATGTATTATTTAAATCACAATTTATTTTTTTTTAATTTTCTTAATTAGATTTTTAACCCTAACGATCGGTTAATTTTCAAGAAAACGGTCATAAAATTCCCTATTTTGCCAAATGCATGTATTTGATTAGTGCTGACATCTAATTTAAAATAAACTAACTATCTACAATTACCTTAAAAATATCCTGGTACTACCATCTGGTGTGTAAAATGAGAAATAAAATGTTTTCCTGGCAAAAGAAATGAATTAATTTTATTCTTATTGGCACGTTACTACTGAACACTTCAGCCCGGAAATTTCACGAGAGCGAGAAATAGAGGGCGAAAACTCACCCCGTCATTTTCACGGGAGCGAGAAGGAAGGGGTTAAAGCGTCATTTTGTAACGATTGTAAAAGTAACTGCAAACCGCCTAAATGACATAGTTCTAAATTAATTTGCTATTTCTTAAATATTGTACAACTTTCAATGTGGAAACATTGCAATTTTCATTAACATATTGTTGTAAGATTGATTTAATAAGAAATTTATGCGGCCACTAACCATAGCAAGCGGAATATCATTTGCAAGCAACTTTTTGAGACTTCGTTCCATCGTCTATTTCATTTATTTAAGTGTGAACAGGAGTAATGAATAATTTTTCTATCATAAAAACACATCTGTCGTTGTACCTTTTCGGGCAATGTAGTTAGATACAAAAAATAAAATTATACGGGTGCGACATATGGTGTGGCAGAAGTCGAATTATTGGCCATAGATGGCGCCACTGAAAAACAAGAAATGCACACTCTGCCTTAAATTTGTTCGGTTTCACCAAGCAGGCTTGCCAGTGTGGCAAGTTTCATTAGAAACAACAACAACAAATTAAAATCATGTTAATAAACATAAGAGATGCAGATTGTCATCAGCATAAAATTTATAATAGAGTTTATCCGGAAATTATTTGTTTATACATTATTCAACAGTATTAAGGCCTGTTTACACGATTCAAGAATATCCATTCAAGACCGTTCGAGATCTTGAGTTGATATTTCTGCTTCAAGAACTCGTATGAATCGTTGACACGATAAAAGATCTGCAATCTCGCTGATTGGCCAGAGGTATAAACCTGCGCATGCGTGACTGTTTATTTTTCGTTTCGTTTTGTTGACAGTGACAGCACAGAGATTGCAGTTTTGAGTTTTTGGCCAAAGCGAAGCTTTTGAACCATGGATGTTGATGATGTTATTGTTTTGTCTTCGTCAATTTTAACTTTATCGGCGGTTTCTCTTTTGAAACAAAAAAACAAAAAGAGATCAACTTGGATAAAAGACTGGAAAACTCCCGAAAGGAGGAAAGCCTGTGGGGCATACTATGCCTTGATGAAGGAATTGGAAGTATCTGATCCCGTAGCCCTTAAAAATTTTGTCCGAATGGACAAACAAACTTTCATGCAAACTTTCAAACAAACATTTTAAATAAAACTTGTAGAACCTAGGTTAACTTGACCTATAAATATATACCATAATACCAAAACCATTTTTCGAAATTACTTAATTTCATTGAGTTATTGAAATTATAATAAAAGTGTACTTAAGATTTAAAATGAAGTATTTTTAAACAAAAAGTGACAATAATAAACAATCTTCATATGATATAGGTTTTATAGAGTAGCACTAACTCTGCAAATTTCTTTAAGATACCAAAAAAGGGATAATTTCTCTCTCAAAAGTTGAGGGGGACTTTGTCCCACTCTTCTCCCTTGAAAGAATCTAGATTTACAGATATTGACATCATCAATAAAATGAATCATACATCCCTTGTTACGAATTAATTCTTTTTGGCGGCGTCAATTCGTCGCCAATCAAATTATTTTTTTTTTNAACAACAGTAATCTAGTCGCACAAATAGAAGCAGGGATTTCATTTACTTTATTAACAGGGATATAATTAATTTAATTATATATTTTGTTTTATGAGCAATAAATGAAATCGCAATTACCATGAAAATTATTACCACAAAAAATTATTTGGCATCTTGCACTGTTAATAAGAGATGAATGTTAATATAAAGAACGTTTTTAAAGTTGATCTGCTGAAAAACGTAATTAATTAACATTCATAAAAATTTCTCAATCTTTAACCAGTTTAGAAGATAACCAATCCTTTTTTATTATTTTTTGAAAACGTGGTTATTTAAATTTACGATGAATTGTGGCTTTTATTTTAATGTATAGTCTTGACGAGAGTTTATTTTTCGATTATGTTATATCGACTATGCAAAATTCTGTAAACGCTTTATTAGATTTTTTCCTGTCAATGAAAATAAACGCCTCGAGGTTGTACCAGATTAATACACTTCGGAAAAATCATTTTCAAATCTATTTATAAACATTATTATTTTAACAAACATCTTTTTATTGAAAAATTTAATTATTACTATAATTTGTATATCACGTAATATCTAGAAATTAAAAAACAATACACTAAATAAAATTAAATAATTTATACTTAAATTAATTCCATTTGTAAACAGAAAAATATTTGTTAAAATATGTGTAACTTAAATGAGTAGTATTATTAATAATTAAAAAATCTAGTAAACGAAATCAAATAAAATTTAAATTAATATTGCTTGCGAACTGAAAAAAATAATTAAAAAAAAGTAAGAGGAAAACAAAACAAACAACTGCACAATTTAAGTTCCAATCGTCTCATTGGTGAGCAGTTTTCTTGTCATTAGAGCACCGATCCGTTGCGGCATCTTCAACTAACTAAAGTATGCTTAAATTTTTAAATGCATTTTCTTTTTCATAATTAGCTGGCTAGTGTGCTTTATTATTTTAAGGGATGATTGCCCTTAAAGTAATCTACGAATATACCAAGTTTCCTTCACTCTCTTTATCACATGATTTTTAAAATTAATCACATTAGAAATAGGGTAAACAAACCAGTGAAGGAACATTTTAAATATATTGATTAAAAATAAGAATTTGAAAGTTTTTCTGTAGATTGATTGGTAACAATAGCTTACTGTCAAACAGCAGAAAGTCATCTAGCAATGTTTTGGATTACCTGGTCACATAGACTTCTCTGTAAAAAAAATTAAATTTTTTGTTATCTCTGCAACACCTTAGTTCTTTGAAAAAATTATAAGGTGAGTGTTTGTTTTTATATGTTTAAAGTGGAATTAATTGCATGTAATAGTTTTATTTTTCTCGCTGTGAAAATAAGAATTCAAAATATAGTTATTGAAGTTACATTTTAATTTTTTAAGCATTATAGCATAATCAAGTACTGAGATAAGGGGGTGTTTATTCACTGGATCACCAAACGATGAAAACCCAGTGAAGAAAAAAGTGTTCCTTTACTGGGTTTCTTTACTAGGTTAATGAAAATGAAAGAAAAACTTTAATTTTCTTGTACCTTTAGTGATGTTTTGCATCAAAAGTATGCTAAAAATACAAAAAACAACTTCTAACCAGTGAAGGAACAGGCATGTTCCTTTACTAGGCATAGATTTCCCAGTGAATGAACAGTATGTGTTAATATATTGACACTTTACTTTTCAATTAATGATTATAAAGAAAGTTAACGTTTTCCAAGTATTTGTATGTTATAATTTCAAGAATAGGCTTGTTTTTAGATATTTGTATGGCATATAAATTCATAAAGAGCATTAAAAAATAACCAAAATTAAGTGTTCCTTTACTGGGCAATTTTGTGTTCCTTCACTTGGTCTTCTTACTACTCGTTATTTGAACCTCCAAAACTTTAACACAATATTATGAAAGTTCTCTACAATTTTTTTACATAATTTGCAATTAGTAGCAGATATGTCGACGCTGTCATTTAACTAAAATTACGAATTTTGAAATTCATATGATTTTTTAAAAGGCAAGCGAAGCTTAAGTGTTCCTCCACTGGTTAGTTTACCCTATGTAACGTAAATTTTTTACTAAACAAACCAATATGTTTTTTTACCATATTAAGAACATCAAAAACAATATGTTTTTTCCCCTTTAAAAGCTGTGTAACCCTTTAAAACATTAACAGATTGAAAGACGAGCGATAAACATAGAACATACTTATTTTGAAAATTTACGAAAATAATAAATATTAGTTTATCAACATTACTTTATTGAAATGACAAAAAGTTTTGCACAATGATATTTAAGCTAAAATATTCTTCAACAACAAATTTCCTTTTTGACTGAATTTTTGAAGAATGATTATTTTCTTAGTTGGATGAAGCCGAAGATTTCGATGAACGAAAAAGGATACGAGACAGATTAATGAAAGTTCAACATGAAATTAAAGGTAGGAATGTGATATTTCAATTATAAATGATTTGTTTGTTTTTTTTACTTTTTTAGTCGATGGGATGAGAATTAGTTCCATTTGTCATAAAAAGTGGTCGTATAGTTTTCATTTAATTAAAAATTTTAAGTACTTAATTTTAGTCAAAATTATAATATTACAAGCTTTAATGTGCACATTATTTATCAAATAGTATCTAGATCCAGAACTATATTTTACTCTCTGTTTGCAGTTGTATGTATGAAAATTTTATTTTATACTAAAAAAAAAAGGCTTTTAAACTACTATGTTATTAATTTTATGTAAAAATATGTATTAATTTATCATAAATTCATCATTGACTTTTTCGGAATTTTAAGTCTACTTTTCCTGTTTTTTGAAATCTTTCGCGATTTGTTTTTTCATGTTGTTATTCAAAATAAGGAACAAAAGTGCTGCTTGCATTTTAATATATTTGTTAGCAGTTTCGATATATTTTAACCATCAAATCAAGCATCAAATAACCATGTTAATATCTTCCCATCATAGCCGTGTCATGTGCTTGAAAAATACATTTTTGAAAGTGCTTAAAAACAAAAATCTTAAATTATATCAGACTTTCAATGGAAGTCAAGTATTACCGAACAGTTTCATCAAAAATACCGATGAAAGACAATGACGTGAAAAATCGGTTTTCTCCAAGAGTTATTACAAAGTAAAGATGGGGTATATACTGTGGAAAAATCTTTCCTTTCTGCGTGCAAAGAAAAGATCTAGGGAAAAAGATATACCATTAAATATATAGGAAATGTTGCAATAAGCATTAAAAATGTTCTTTTGTTGCTCAGAAAAAACTGTTTGCTTCAATGAAAAAGAATTTATTAAAGGGACTGCAACAAAGAAACCAAATTATTAAAATTATTATTATTATTAAAAAAAGTGTTCGTTTTAAATCAAAATGTATTATTTAAATCACAAATTTTTGCTTTAGGGCCATAGCTGTTGAAAGAATTTAGTAAAAAACACGAATGAACTTTTCTCACAGGAATGAAAGATGCTGAAGAAAAAGTTAAAATTTTAGTATACGCGGACATTAATTATGTTAATTTAAGACACTTATTTAATTACATCTAAAAAATAAATTGTTAATTATGTATCTAACTTTATATATATATATATATATATATATCGAAGAGCCATTACATTATGACCACCCTTGCTAATAACATGTAGGACCACCTTTAGCTCTCAAAACTGTCAGCATCCGCCGTGGCATTGATTCCACAAGGTGCTGATAGTTAGTCTGAGGTATCTGGTTCCAAGCGCTCACCAACTGGTCCTGCAATTCCCTATCGTGGCAGCACGAATTTGGTTTTCCGAGTAGGATCGCAAATGCTCTATTGGATTAAGGTCAGGTGAATTTGGGGGCCAAGACATGACTTGAAAGTCACTGGAATGTTCCTCGACGATTCGACCCTTACGACACGGTGCATTATCCNTGCTGATGATTCTAAAGGCCTGGTTTCTTAGGACAGGACGCCGTCAGCTGGAAATCAGCGCTAACCTCTGATTGGTCCATTTGTGAGTTTGATAGTATACGTCATCGAACTCTCATCTTGAGCTACAATTGCCGTCCAACTCAACTGCAGTTGGATTACAACGTGACGTTAACCACAGAAGCAATGGCGGACAACATCTTTAATGATGGTGTCGTAGTCTTCTATTGTTGTCGGTATATTTTTATTGTAAAAACTGTTTTACGCTATGAAATAACAATTATTGCGAAGCAATCATCGTTGTTGGTGAATTGGGGGATTAGCCCACTAGTAGATATATTAAACTGCTAATTTATTTTTGTAGTAATTTATAAATGTTTTTTAGGTTTAGTGCCATTATTACTAGTGCATAAATCAAATCAATAAAAGTCAAAAAAGTATCAGAAAGTAATTTGTCGATTTATAGCTCAACGGTCAAGTTATAGATACACATTTTGCAAAATTTTATATCTTGTTTTCAGGTTTGCTTTAAATGGTTGAAAGTACCGATATTGTAGTTCAACACTGAATCTATTTTTCTGAAAGTGCATAAGTTTCATAGGATTGAGCATTATTTGAACAAACATCGTTTCACCAGTTATGTTGATAAAAATAAATAAAAAATTCGTCGACGTTGGTTATAAAATCCCTTTTTTTTTGTGTGGAAACTATTCGCTTGATTCTTATTTAAATCTCCACTGTAAATAAAGTCAGTGGTAAGAAAGATATGCGATTATGCCACTGAGTAAAAATAAAATAAAATATTTAATTAAAATGTGATTTAAAATAAAATGCAAATATTTACCATCCGCATAGCAATTTTCCAAAAATAATCATTTTTCCGTGTGCCTTTATTCGCAGCGCAGAGGGAAAAGGATCGTCGACGGAGGGAAGAAGATCGAGAACAAGCAATTCGCAACAAAGTAAAGGAGGCTGACATGAAAAAGAAGAAGACACTAGAAATGTACAGTGAAATGGCAAAAGGCGGCACACCTGCTGGAAGGAAAGGTGAAGAAAAAAAGCCACTCTTTACTCGGAATAATTTTGCCAGATTTTGGAAAAGATGATGTTCGTAAGCCTGACAAATTTTAAATTAATGAGAAATGGGGACAATCATCTCCTGATTAAGGAGACAAGTTCCGGGCTCACTTTTCTATTCCCTCATTATTAAGTTCCTAAACTCGTCCGAGCCCCAAACATCACCTCCCTTCAGACAAAATTTCTCTGTTAAAAAAAAAATAGTCCCTGTTTAAAGTAATGAATACAAAAGTAGAGTGCTTAAACACCGAGGATACTTCTAGTTTATGGAACGTGAACTGTCTATTACTGTTACCTTTATTTGTACTTTATTCATTATTTATATGTGTGCTTTATTTGAACAGTGATCCAACTGTATTAAAAAAAGAAATAGACCATCGCTTTCATAACCGTAATTTTTAGATTATTTCAAATTTATTGTTGTAGATGTTGTAGTTAATTTACGTCGCACTAGAGCTGTACAATGGGCTATTGCCGACGATCTGGGAAACATCCCTGAGGATGATCAGAAGACACGCCATCACAATTTTGATCCTCTGCAGAGGGGATGGCACCCCCGCTTTGGTGGCCCGACGACCTGCACGCGAAGTCTAGCACTTCACGGTAGAACAGTTTAATGAAGACCCATACCGCACACCCTCGGTCCCTACGCAGACTGATCCAAGTGGTCACCCACCCGCACACTGACAGCAGCCAGTGATGCTTGACTACGGGGATCTGCTGGGAACCGTGTCTTGGCGACTAGCCCACTGCGGGACTGACTGCTGTCAAAAAGAGAGCACTATAAATGAGAAATGATAGGGAAAATAGTGCACTCGAATAGATCACACGATAATTCTCTACCTTCCTAGTGCACTTTAGCATTCAAATAGAGTCTCGGTGCTGCCATCTAGTGAGGCAGAAACTAGACGTCCAAATTAACCTGACCAACATATCTCACCCATTGTGGTGGTTCTGAAAGAGTGGATACAACCTCTGGAGAACGCACTAGGTCTGCTCATTGGCAAGACCGATTGTGCAGCTCATCGAAAATAAAAAATAATTCTCTACCTATACAGAAATCCAAACGGAATTTGTCCGGTCACCTAAGCTTGTGCCTTGATTTGGAGGTCTTCTTACCCATAATCAAGATTGAAAACATAGATATGTATGGACGTGAATTGGTCACTTTTAACTAGAGTACTCAATTATCACTTTTAGTTCTCAAAGGCGGATTAGACCACTTTTCAAATAAGATCTTCATACACACAGGGTTCTTATAAAATAACTATGGCGACTCTCTGGCAAGCATACCGTTCGAAAGAAGGAAATGAAATTCTCCATGAAAGTATTATCAGGTATGAGCGATAATACAGCTCTTATGGTTATGATGACAGAATCTCGGAATTTTTAAAAAAATACTCATAATTTTTGTTGTTGATAAAAACATAATCATCACAATGTAAAACCTATGTATGAGATGCGTGCCAGTAATTTTTTTTTTTTACTTTGATAATACATATTTGTCAAGCATCATCACCTTTCGTGCTAAGAATTTCTAAATGAATTTTAAATTTTCTTTACAGTGAAGATCACTTTCCAATAAAAAAAATTAAAATTGGTGTTGGCACCACAAAATTCTAGTCTCTCGAGAGCATGCCATCTAACACCTTTATAAAAAAATTTATTCTTTTGAATGGTATTGGGTCACATATTGGCAAAGTTATCTGATGATCACTATATATCTACATTATTACTATTTATTAATAATAGAAAAAAAATAATTTATAAAAAAATAGTATAAATGGAGTATTAAATTTTTGTAGGCAGTTTATCGGGTCCTCAAGACTCAACAGGTAAGCCTAAGGATTTAGTAGAGGAGGCAATTAAAGACCGTCTACAAGCAGCGGACAATCGAAAGAAAAGAATTTTAGCTGCCTACGACCATGCTGCTAAGAGTCAACCGGCTGGACAAGCACGAATTGTCGAATTTGATGCTTTTAGAAGCGCAGATGGTAAATAAATAATTCTTTTTCTTATAATGATTCACACACTTTTCCTGTTCATATTTATTTTACTGTAATATGCATTTTAAAAATTTCAAGATGAAATTGTATAAAAATATAAGAGTAGTACCCACGAAAAAAATTATCTCCAAGCCACTGGTTTAATTACAGCTCCGGTTGCATTAAACAACTAAAAATTAAAAAAAATACATATATTTGTCTTGCTGTTCTTACATGCACCGAAAAGTCATAAATTTGGTATCTATAGGTAGAAGCAACTTGACTATAGTACAACTATTCCGAAAATTTTACGAGATAGAAAAAAAAAGTTCGATTTCCTTCGATAACGATGTTGTTATTATTGTTGTCATAGGCTATTAAGGCAAGGGATGTGATTGTTCTTGTTTTCCAGTGACGCCATCTATAGCCAAAAATTCGAATTCTGCCAAACCCGTTTATAGGGCGGACTCATTCATACATCCATTTATTCATCCACAGATCGTAACTTTGTCCTGAACCAAAGACCGACCAATCTCCAATTCAGTACCCCCAGAGGTATAATGTGTTATGGGAACATGGAGGACTTTGTGACCCGGCAGAATTAACGTGCACCAGCCAACGTTTACTATTCCTCGGTTTCGATCACGATATATCAGTTATATACAACTATTATACTTGTTATAAAAAGTGAGTAGTGATGTAGTATCGATTCTGTACAAAATTATATGCTCAACATGTTAGTGCTAAGTTGCTAACCTTCGAGTCTCTCAACGGTTTCAAACTGCTGCTAGACTTAAGTTTGAGTTTATGCTGACCATCACATCGCCGTTTGATAATTAAGGCGGTTGCAAAAATGATCAGTTGATACTATATTGCACCCTCAAGCTAAAAAACTATTTTTCAAATAATTGCTTTCTCTACTGACAAAGTGTTTCTTCCTAAAAAAATTATTTTTAACAGAATTTCCTCAATTTTTTACATTACTTTTATATAAAAATATTTTAACACATTTAAATAGCTCGGTTTAGTAAAATTAATAAGCACAGAAAATTTAAATAGCTTTAAAAATAATTACAATCGCCATTTGACATACATTGAAAGATTTTAATAAATACGTCTAGTATCTCATTTTGAGAAAATGCCCTTTTTCTCAAAAAGCTTTCTTTCGCTTCACAAATAATAAGAACATCAATAGACAGAGGTTCAAGATTTTTTATTTTATATTATACCTAGAGTTGGACAGCCCACCTATTTTTAAGTTTGCAGCTAACAATGTTCAACTCTATATCCTTGGTATTTTGAACCCAAGGAGAAATAAACTCCAGAAACAAGGATTTCTTTTTTTATATATATATAACCGGCGTTAAACAGTAGACCAATACTGAGTGTTTGACTATCAATACTCAACTCCACAGCTTTGTAATTTTGAAACCCAATCCAGAAGATAAGGGAACTCCGGGATCAAGTATTGGGAGAAATTAGGACTTTACGACAGAACTAACCCGCATTTGCGTTACAATGACTAGAAAACCAGGAAAACTTTTTACGGTTAACCCGATGGTAAGCGGATTCTGACCCATAATTCGTCCACCACAGAGGATATTTTATGTCAGCATTGTGGTCTGTGCGAGCCGGAATCAGAATTCAAATGAACCAGGTAACGCGGGGATCGAACCCAGGTCACCTCATTGGGAGCCACCACTGCTCCAGGATCAAGCATTTTATAACCATCGTTGAACAGCTGACCAAATTTTGAATTTATGACTGCAAATGTTCCGCTCCGTAATTTTGAACCCAATTCAGAAGACAAGAGAACTCCTGGATCAATCATTGGAAGAAATTTTGCTTTCGTGGAATACTTTTGTAAATAGAACTAGTCAGCATTTGCGTTATATGGAGAGGAAAACCACGCAAATTTCACACAGTTAGCCTAACGGCTAGGGGACTTTAACCCATAATCCTTCTACCACTGAGGATATTTTACGTCAGCACTGTGGTCGGTGCGAGCCGGGTGCCGAATTCGTATCGAGCAGTCATCGCTGGGATTGGGACCCAGTTCACATGATTAGAAGACGAATGCTCTATCCCATGAGTCACCAACGAGCAGATCTTCGCACTGGATTATTTGATAGAACTAACACGAAAACCTCCCATGGTTAGCCCAAAGGCTAGAAAATTTCAGCCCCTGAGACCTCGACCACTAGGGATATTTTACGTCAACAAAGTGGTAGGTGCGAGCCGGGTGCAGAATTTGAATCAACCAGCCATCACTGACATTCTAACCAGAGTCGCCTTTTTAGGAAGCGAGCTTTTATTCCTTGAATCATCGCGGCTCATCCTTGAGTGTTTTTAAGAGTGGATGATGAGTAAGTTTAGAAAACTTGTCTTTTGTTTAGCAGCAAATTAAACAATCGGGGATTTGTTGATTCCGCTAATAAAGGCAAAGACATAGTCTTTATGTTCTATTGTCAATGCATAAACTTTATAGCTAATTTATTTAAATTCGCTAAAAATGTCACTTAAAATATTCATTCTCCAATTGCTTCTGTGTTTCAGTATCTAAGTTGGAACCACCGAAACCAGTTAAAGGAAGTTGCTGTTTCAGTATGGCAGGCGGAGTTCCGAAAGTGGAGAAGAGTAAGCAAAATGGATATTATAATTAAGAAAAAAATATATTTAACACTTAATTTGCTATTATATCTTATCTTGTATGACATCAATTTTAATTTTTAAAAATTAAACTAATAACCTATGTTTTTGCTTGATTAAATAGAATTGTGCACATCGAAGCATTTTCTTAATTTATCTCGTTAGTATCTACTTCTAAGGATGGTTTTAAGAATGAGTTTTAAGTTCACGGGAAATTTTTTTTCGACATAAATTATTTCTAAGTCTTCTTTTCTCCTAAATTCACTGCCTTAAGATATGTTTTACCTTGCTGAAAAGAGTCTGGATTTTTATTTATTTTTAAACAGACTAATAGCACAAATTATAAGCACAGTTTTATTTTTAAAAAAAAGTATACTTCAAAAAATAAGCATAGTTTAAATTTAAAAAAATAATAATAAACATTTAGGGAAAAAAAAAGAAAAAAAACCAATTACCAAATTGGCCAGGTTTCTCCCCATAAACGAAGATCAATTCATTATTCTAAACTTCTACTTATTTTTATGAGCTCGATTAATGAGCATCGTTGGAATAATTTTTCTAATCTTAAAAAAATAATTCCCAAGCACTGCTATTTACAAAAAAACACTGGATCTTCTGCATTTTGCACCAGTTTTTCATAAATAGAAATGGCATAAATAGTTAAAGATAGGCAAAACTTAAAATCTTGAGTAATTGCAACAAACAGTAATAATAAAAATGCATATATAAGAATGTTTTTCGATAATTCATTAGAGTTTACAGCCTTAAGTGTATCAAGCGTTCTGTTGATAATGTAACGTTTTTTTCCCTTTGGAGTTGGACTAAGAGTCCAACTCCAAAGTAGTTTATTTTTTGCAACGTTTGGACGTAAAGCGTCAAGTTTCAGCTCATTCTATAAATATTTTAGTAATTAACATTTTTAAGAATAAACCTTTTTTCACAGGCTACTATTAATAGCTACTATTAGCATTCAAAATCTAAAATAACAGGCTACTGCTATACTATTTTAGATTTCGATGGTACTTTTTTTAAACATTTTTCATGGTGCTTAAAACTTTTACGAATGTTTTCAAGAAAGTTCTCAGACACGATTTTTTTTTCCAGTATTGGAAAGATATTCATGAATTTACAAGATGTTGGTACTATTCTTTGATATGTTGAATTAAAACAGAAAAGTGGTTTTTAATACCATACTTCAATATAGATAAATCAATAAATACCGTTTATANAACATTTTTAAGAATAAACCTTTTTTCACAGGCTACTATTAGCATTCAAAATCTAAAATAACAGGCTACTGCTATACTATTTTAGATTTTGATGGTACTTTTTTTAAACATTTTTCATGGTGCTTAAAACTTTTACGAATGTTTTCAAGAAAGTTCTCAGACACGATTTTTTTTTTCCAGAATTGGAAAGATATTCATGAATTTACAAGATGTTGGTACTGTTCTTTGATATGTTGGATTAAAACGGAAAAGAGGTTTTTAATAACAGCCCTGTATAATATCGATTATGCAGGGTTGTCATAAAAATAACTTCTAAAATTTTATGCCTTATTACTGAAAAACTACTAATTAAATAGCAATAAATTTTAGACACCTATTCCAGACCATGGAAAATAAAATTTTGAATTAAAAAAATGTGTCGCTGGAAAATGTCAACTTGGAAAAATAAAGAGTAAATTGCTTAAAAAAATTAAAACTTAATTTTTTTGAAAAAAAAAGTAAGCCTTAATTAATGCAAATGTGCAAATTTTTAATAGTTATGTACCTAGGATAACCAAATTTTACAAAATAAAGTTTTGTGGTTTTTTTTTTTTTTTAAATGTACAAAACATTGTTTGATGAAATTTTTAATAAAATAAGTTTTATCAAAGGTAACTTATTACTAATAAATTAGAAAGCAATTTCATTGACAATTTTTAAATTTAGAAAGAGTAAACTTAGATTTTTAACTTCAATTATAAACATGAACATTTGTTTTGCTAACGTAAATTATGAGAAACGTTTTAAACCATTTTTAAGACTTATAAGTGTTTACCACAATATACAATTTTACCATTTTTAAAACCATTCAAAGATTTAAATTTTCTTAATTTTGAAAAAACTGAAATAATTGTGTACAGTTTATACATATATATTAAAAGATTGACATTTTAAAATAATTTTTAATCTAGCAAAGTTTGCCGGAAAATAGTTCAATATTTTACTATTCCGCAAATCTTAACGCCCCTGAAACTTTTAACCCTACCTCCATCGCATTTAAAATTACAAAATGTAAAAGAGAATTAATCTGAACTGTCACATGAACTGTCAAGGCCTGGTTTCTTAGGACAGGACGCCGTCAGCGGGAAATCAGCGCTAACCTCCGATTGGTCCATTTGTGAGCTTGATATTATACGTCATCGAACGCTCATCTTGAACTACAATTGCCGTCCAACTCAACTGCAGTTGGATTACAACGTGACGTTAACCACAGAAGCAATGGCGGACAACATCCAACAGCACATTAAAATCAGCCAAGATTTTGATTTTGACATTAAACATAGCTCAGCTATAGCTGAGAGTGCTATAATGAGCTTTTTCTTGAATAAAGTCATTATTTGTTCTCTAAAACACTGGTCGACAAAAACAAAATCAATACAAATTCAAAATAAATATTTGTTTACGTTATTAACGCATGCGCAATGAGAGATAATGTCTGCGTTGGACCGACTGCTCACGCTGAGCTAACAAAAAAGTATTTCTTTGGTGTCAGCTCTACGTCAACTTTCCGCTGACGCCCAGATAAGGCACTTGTGCTAAGAAACCAGACCTTCTGACACTTTACCTGTCTAAATTAAAGAGAGAGTAATCACGTGATAGGGTACCAAGGGAATAGAGTAATATAACAGAGCGCTTTCGCTGCCTACGATTTCAGCTCTATATGTAGAAATAAAGGCACAATGGAGCAGTAATCTTGGTGAATCGAGTTCAGTAGCCAATGTTAATTATGATAACCTGTTAATTGTGTATTTATTTGTTCAATGTAAATTTACAGTTGTTCCCGCATCAGTACGAAAACCTCGTATGCCAGTGGATGAATCTGAACTAGATCCAATGGAGAGAGCAATAAGGGCTCGAGTCAGGGAAGCGGAAGAAAGAAAGAAGAGAACATTAGCTGCCTATGACATGGCAGCCAGAACTGGTGGAGCAGGACCTAAAGTAGTCATTTTACAGGAATTCAGAGATCTTAAAAGTAGGTTTCATTATTTTATTTTCTGCTCAGGCAACACCTGTTGCTCTGAATGCTACTTTTAAACACAAACAATTAGTTATAATTTTTTGATAGATAAAAGAGTGACTATTTAGATACAGTAGGGAACCGATTATCCGGAACGATCGGGACCATCGCTATTCCGGATAACTGATTTTTCCGGTTTTCTGAATCGCACAGAAAGCCGTTTTTTTATTGTTAAACCCAACTAAAAAAATTTTTTTTGTGGAAATAATCTTAAAAAGAAGAAAAAACGATGAAGTAATACACTGATGATAATTTCCAAGATGATGGTAAGGTGAACGTCTTTCAAAAAAGAAAAAAAAATCCTAAAATCTTATGAGGAAAAAAAAAAAAAATTTTTAAAAATGGCGGGAAAATTTATCGAATTTCGTTCCGGTTTTATGGTTTTCCGGTTTTCTGATTTCCGGATAAAGGGTTCTGTATTGTAATAGACAAGAGATTTCATTTGAGAACAAGAAAATCAGTATTAAATAAAATTGGAAAAACTAATTCTAGGGGGGAAAGAGCTTGTATGTATGAGCAACAATATATATTTTTTGAGAAATGGAAACAGAAATCTAATTTTAGCATAAGAAATTGAGAGCGGTATATATCTAATTAGTGGCATAAAATTTTGAGAGAGGTATATTTATCTACAACAATGGATAGGAAATTTTTAATGCAAAACCATTAAAAATGGCTTTCTATCCATATCATATACACAAAGATAATCATTTTCAATGCGACATTTTTGAAGAACTTATTGCAATAGCTTAATTAGAAAAAAAAATTAGAATTTAAAAAAAACTTAAAATGAATCCAAAAACGGAAATGAATTTTTTAGTCCGTTAAATTCCAACTTTGCAATCGTATTTCAGAGAGAAGGACTCTATAATTTACATGTTTAATAATTGATAATTATCGAACTAACAAAATAAAAAAAATTTTCATTTCATTGTACTCTTCTCACATTTTTCTACTCATATTTGTAATTTCAAGATTTATAGTTTTGCTCTAAAAAGCAATGTGCAAGGTAAAAAGAAAAAAAGTGAGTAAAAATAGCTCGTAAAATTACAATAACTTTCAAATAAAATGGAGCTTCGAAAAAACTCAAGTTTCATTGAGTTTTCAATTTTGAGTTCATCAAGTTTCATAAATGAAAATGATTTTTTTACAGCACATTTAATTTTAATTTTGTAGCTGCATTTTAGCAATCTGTTTAGAAAGGCTTTATTTACTTATAAGTTGATAATTTTCGAACTAATAATCAAATCTTAAATGTATTTCATTTTTTTCACATTGTACTTTCTGTACACTTCTCTTCTCACCGTCGTAATTTTAAGTTTTTAGTTTTTATGGTGAAAAAAATTTACATGATAAAAATGAAAAAAGAGCGAGAGAGAGAGAAAATTCGTAAAAACTAGCAATTAAAATTGCAATAACCAGTTAATTCTTTAAAACAATACATCCTCACAAAAATAAAACTCCCAGGAAACCATTACCCTATATTTTACTAAAAAATTCACATTTAACACAAAAATAATAATAATTTACAACAAATTGTTTAAGCTTTTAACGAGAGGATCGATTTATACTAAAGTATGAGGTTAGAAAATATAAATTTTTAAAAATATTATTATATGGGAATAATTGAATATTAGTGACGTAAAACGTTCGAAATAAATAAGGTGAAAACTATTGGTATAAATATGAAAGACTTAAATATAGCAAAAAAAGCTGTAGAAACCTCTCTTCACAATATTTACAAAAACTCCCTTGACCTTTCACCTGAGCCCGATCTCCATCAATCTATAGATTTGATACTTGATGGATTTCAGTTTATTATTAAAGAAGTTAAATATAGTGTATAACTGTATATTTTGACAGTGTAGTAATTTTTCAACATCAAAAATTTAAGAAAAGAAATTTAAAAAAAAAAGATGAAAAAATACAGATTCAAGCTAGAAAGTCATCCATGTAAATTGGACAAAAATTAGTATATTATATTCAAATTTAATAATTTTTTTCCCTTTTCATTTTTCAGTTGATGAAGAACCTAGAAAACCACCAAGATATGATCCCTGCTTTAGAGGAGGATTAAAAACATAGAAAATTAAGTTTAAAATAAAAGTATATTCTTTTTTTTCTCCTTGAACACTTGAGTATGGTATGTTATAAAAACACTGAGTTTACAGGTTAGATTGAACTTGTCAGAAAATATAAATCTCTTTTACAAAATTCTTTTACATAAATTTATATGTGCAACATTTAAACTTTCCATGTATTTTCCTGTAGACATATTATTTCAATAAATGTGTTCAATTTGTAATAAATTATTTTGTCTCACGTTATTTGAACTCAAAACTATCATGAATGTGAATTAAATTTACGGTGTCGTGCAACAATAATCCCTATTGCATATTTTTAGATGCCTAGTCAAAATGAAGTAAAATAATGTAAACATTTCGAGGCACAAAATTAATTTGCTATCAAAATCTAACAAATTTTTTAAAAAAATTAACTGAAAATGTCATAACTTGCTTGATGACAGACTACAAACTTACAAACAACAACTTACAAAGATAACAGAGAAGAATTAAATAACGGTTATTAGAAGATCAGCCAAGCAGCAAATCAAGCTTTTATTTTTATCAACCCTGCTTTCTTCACTAATAATTTAATAGACTTTGATAAAATTTCTGCTTCCACCTGAATTATTAAATATTAATTTGTGACACTCAAAGTAAATATTTTTAACAATGTTTCATTACATATATATATATATATATATATAATATACCTTATATAAAAAATATACATTTAATTATAGGAATTTTATTTGCGCTAACATATAAAATCCAAAAAAAGCAGATGAGATCTTTTCTTTAATTCTTTTAAAAAAATTATTTTGTAAACTTGAAAAAATTTGAACAATTAATTCTGTTAGATTTAAANTTCTCACATTTAATACATTTAAATAATATATTAAAATATATATATTTACACATATTAAAAAGCCGGAAAACTAAATAACGAAAAGATATAATCTCTTCATTAGCTCACACAATTATATCAGCAAAAAGGAGTGCTTTCTAATATTGTATCAAAATAGCCAAAGCAAGATATATTAATGCAAAAGTGTGAGGAGCACTCAAAAATTAAAAATTTAAACAAAAATAGAACACATTAAGTAAAAAATATATCAAGCAATCAACAGATGTAAAGAAAATACAGAACAAAACCAAACATTTTTTTTTTGTTCTGAATTAAAATTCAAAATTTTTTCAACTATTACTAAAACAAATAATAAACATTTACTAATATTTATTTTTTGCATGGATTTATCTTAGGATAAACAAATTTCATAATTGTGTGCAAAGATTTTTCTATTGTCTTAAAAAGTTTTCGAGATATGGCGAAATAAGCAAAAAAAAAAACAAAAGCATGAACAAAAAAGTAAAGAGTTAAAATAATTTTTCAATTACAAACATACAGTTTTATTTACAATAATGTACAACCTTAAATGTATTACATCTTTAAAGAATTTGATAAAATTCTATCTAACTCCAAAAATGTGGAGCTTCTTTGTTTAAATGAAAAACGTCTGAAGATTTGCATGGAATGAGAGACGGAGGTATGTTAGGGATATTGGAAAGAACGGATGGTAAAACTGGTATCAGAGTGGTTGTACCAGTCGATGAAGAAGATAGCTTTTCGATTTTGGACATTTTGGATTTCACCCATTCATCAATGTCTGGTTCAACTCGTGGTTTTTCAATGGCAGCTGCCAGTTTCTCCTGTCGATCTATAAAAACCAACCATATGCATTTGGTAAACAGTTATTACTATCCTTCTTTGAAAGCATATTTTTAAAATGAAACTCAACTTTAGAATCAAATGTGTTTGGCAATTTTCCTACATGTTTAACGTCTGAACATATTTAATAGTTATAATGTGAGTAACAACATGCCATATAGTAAGTACTTTTTATTTATTTTAGGGTTAAAAAAACAATTCCAGAAGTCAAAGTAAGTTTTTATGAAACAATAACCTTTTAGAAAATAAAATTGATTTAAAAGACTAGAAAAATTAAAATCATATTTTATAGGAATATATTTTACAGCACAAATAAAGTTAAACATATTTGTAACAAATATATAAGTAGAAAGAAAATTTTCAAAATCAAGGTGTTTGTTAAACCATAGTCCAACAAAATTGTCAAAAATGAGTGCCATAATAGTTCGATAAACTATTCTTGGATAAAAAAATTTCATAAATTACTTTTTTCACAGTTATTTAAATGAAGTTCAACGATAGCCCAATTTTCAATACACATGACACAAAATATATTATTAGTAACACCTATTTAAAAAAGGTACACAGTTTCTTGTAAAAATCTATGTTCTCTGATGTAGATGACCATGATTTCATTGTTTTACCATCATTCTCAGATTCTGTATTTAATAATATTTGTTCAGGAATATGAACAAATTATCAGCAATAGGAATAAAATCTTATCAATGATTTGTATGGCAACATCTTCTGTTAGTTACAGAAATTGTGTGATTTGTATGAGGAACTTATAACTTGTTTAACTTTATTGTTTATCTACTTTTAAGCAAACTGAACTTAATATGTGGTTTTAAACCCTTACAAAGAGAAAAAAACTGCTATGAACAGTTGAATGATTTTCTTCTGGTAACATCAATAAAATAATTTTTATTATGGTTAAAAATTATTTCCTCAACAATAATTTTAAAATATGTTATTTATAATTAAAGAAAATATTTTGATATCATTAATTTTAACTAAGTTATTAAAATTATAAATGAAGAAGTAATGATGATAAAAATGTCAATACCCTTTCCAAGAATATCATTGAATAACAGTGTGATTACTTTAACAAACTTGAACATTTCAATTTGTGGGAATTCTTTTAGAATGAAATTCACTTTCATAATTATAAATTCAATTTATATACAAATGCTCACAATTTTCTTCACTTGATATCATTGTGGGAGATAATTTTAATAAATACAGTCGAACCCCGCTATAGTGAACCGTCTGCGAACTCAGTAATGTGTCCACTAAAACCGATGGTTCACTATATCCAAATTTTTTGAAGAATATTTTTTGCATAAGACAGTTGAATGATTGAAAATTGGCTTTGCAATTTTGCATAAGTTTTTGATTTTAAATTGAGTTCATCAATTTTCTTATCTACAATGTGCAAAAATTGAAAGATTTTTACATTTTGAACAAGATTTCGAGCCATCTTGACAAAGCATCTTCTACGTTTTCTCTTTCAGCTCCACACAGTTTTTTCGATGAAACCATGTTTTTGTCGTATGCCGCAAGAATTGCACTTCGATTTTTCCAAATGTTTGAAACTGTAGATTTTGACAATGAAAATTCATTACACATTGTCGATTGATTTGTTCCATCATCAATACGCTTTACAATTTTAACTTTGTCCTCTATCGAAAACGCTTTTCTCTTTAGAGAATTTGCCATTTTCACTGCTTTTGAAATAAAAATCTTGTCTCAAATAGATGTAAGAATATGAAGAGAGCAGCTGTAGAATGAGTTAAATTGTTCCCCTTCTTGATTGTCAAGGGGTGATTTGTAAAGAATATGGTTTGAACAGATAAGAAAATTCCAAAAATTCAGCAGGTGGCCAAGTAAACTAGTTGTAGAGCAAGCTTGGGGAAAAGAGATAAAGCAAGGCCTGTCAGGGAGGGGGGAGTATAAGATAAATGATCTGTTTGACATTTATTACAGTATAGTTAAAAGTGATAAGCATAAAGGAGAGTAATATGACACATTTTATAGGAATGCATTCATTTTCAGTCCCAACACCTACAAGTTTAAAGATGGAGGACTGAAAAAGATATTTAAAGAAATGAAATTTGAGTCCACTATAACCGAGTTTCCAAGTTCTAAGCTGTTCACTATAAGCGTTAAAAATAACATTATTTAAATAGGAATGCGGACGGGACCGTTAAAAAAGTTCACTACATCCGCGTGTTCACTATATCCCAGGTTCACTATAGCGGGGTTCGACTGTATATCGCAATTCCAAGCATTTTAGAATGAAACAAAATTTATAAAAAATAGAATGAAAAAACATTTCTTAAGAAAAAACTGAAATATTTTTCTTTTCTTCACAAAACAATTCTTAAAAATAAATTTTGTTTAATCTTTATTTTATTTTCATTAGAAATCTCAAGCAAAAGATGGTTTATAAATTTTTTAATTAATATATCAAAAAACTAAATAATTTATTTATTTATTTTTTATTCAAAATATGTAGTGTTAAAACTTCTCTGTAGTTTTCATATTTTTTTATTTTCTTTCGATTTTTTCTATTTATTAAAAATGAAGTAATATTTTAAAATTTTTTTAAAGTGAAGTATTTTCATTCTCTTTAATTCAATTAAATTTATAAAAAATAAATCATGCTTAATTTCTAGTTTATTTTCATTTGAAATCTTAAGCACAAAATAGTTTAAAAAATTTTTATTAATATATCATAAAACTAAATAATTTACTTTTCATTTTAAATATATATGGAAAAAACCTCTTTGCTGTTTTCATATTTTCTATTTTCTTTTCATTTTTTTCTTTTTATTAAAAAGGCATAACATTTTTGCAATTAATAATATCCCATTTTAATGTTATTTATACAGTGAATCTCAAAAGTGTATGAGAAATTTTTAGAGGAGATAAGATGCTTCATAAGGATTAAGAATTGCATAGCAATCTATGGGGATAGCATATATAGATAGCTATTGCATAACAATCTAAAGGGAAAGTAGTAGCAGAGTAAAAGGTCTGAAAAGATACAAGATAGGGATTAATTGAAAAATGTTTATGGGACACAATGACTACAAATGTTGAATACATTTTATAAAGCTACAATGAATGTGATAAATTTACATCATAGAATGCTATGTATTCCGGTAAAACAAACCATTTTCTTTTATCGTCACAGGGATACACACTACTCTGCTTTTTGAAAATAATTCATCACAATTTAAGAATTTGAGTTAATTTTTGTCAAATTACATTTCAATTTGAGTACGCAATATTTATTGTAATTACTCAAATTACATTTTAATTAATCAAACTACATTTTAAAAACCTCACCACAAAAGAACTGGAACAAAGTAGCTTTTTATATGAATTTTGGAATCATTAACATGTAGTGGTGTGAAAAATAATTTTAAATCAAATTAACTAAACGAAGAACAATACATTGAAACATAAAGTTTTCCACCACGAGAAGAAATTTTTGCCACAAAGCCTAGAAAGTTGACAGTCTTGTTGCAGCAGC